AGCCTTCTCCTGTGATTTGCTCCATACATCTAGCTGTGTAGATTTCTCCCGTATAATGTTTTGCAGGAACCTCAAAGTAGACACGTTGGAAACAAGCCTCCTTGTTCTTCAGTGCTTTCCTTCAGCCATTCCCATGGAATTGTCCTCCTCCCAGTTACCAGAGACCTGGAACGAGCATCCTTTACTTCTGCTTTCCTCTCCTGTCTGTGTCTATTTTAATCACTGGCTTCACTAATTTAATCTGATTAATAGGTTTCGATTCTTTCTCCTTTGCCTCTCACCTGGAGGCTTCCTAAGTGGTGTTCCTGCCTCCAGACTTACCTTTCTCAAATCTGTTTTCCAGACCTGTGTCTCAATGATCTTTCTATAACACAGAGCAAGTCCCCAGTTACACCCAAGACCCCTCGCGACTCTTTGCTGCTTCTGGGCTGAAACATCTGCTCATGTTCTTTAGCGCGGTCCCCCTACCCTGTCCCATCCCAGGCAGACCTCCCCAGCCTCTCCCCTCCTCATGCATACTTCAGCGGTTCTGAACTACATATTACTCCCTCCTGCAGGAGGCCTCAGTGATCTTCATTCATCCCTTGACTGTTCCTTCATCCATGTAATCCTTTCCTGTCTCTCAACATGCAGCTCAGGGGGCTGGGAAGTCTTTGTGGTTGGCATTCCACCCCTGGTCAGGTCTAGTGCCACTTCACCACGCTTGTCCCTGGTGCTAACTCTATGCAGTAACGACTACGTAACATTACTCATTTCTGTCTCCAGATAGACTTTGATCCCCTGGAGCTCAGGGACCTTGTCCTAAGTAACCTGTGTGGTCTGCATGCTGGCACTTAGGAGGAACTCAGCCAATGATACTTGTAACTGCTCTGCAGCTCCATGGTGTTACCAAGCCGAGGACCTCCGAGCAGACAGATAGCCATTGGTCTTTCAGATGCCTGGCTTTCACCTTCTGAAATCTGGTCTTTTGCATTGTATTGATACACAGGGAAACGGACAGTGATTTTACTGAGCTAAGAGGATGTGGATATTTCCCACAGGTTGACCCAGTTGAAAGTTGTAACGGCCGGAGGAATCTCTGTTCGTCTACTCAGACCAGACCTGGGCTCCCACTCGTGAGTATTGCCAACAAACGTGTCACTTCCCATTTCCTTAAAAAGCTCCCAAACTCGGGCACAGTTTATAGTCTTGCTTCACTTCTGCTGGAGGAGTTCACCACGGCAGATTCAAGCTGGGGAAATTGCTAACTTGTGTTAAGGTGAAGAAAATCGTTCTGATGTATTTAAACTCGGGAACTGAATCTTCAGGAATCTGAATTGTGATGATTGAATTGATGAATTGATGAATCTGAATTGATGAATCTCAATTCAACAAGCTTTTAGTAAGCACCCATTCTTCACCATGTGCTCAGCCCAACCCCCGGTGGGAGATGGATGCCCAGAAAGGGGTGGGATGTGGTGTCCACCCTCTGAAGCTTGCTATCTAATAGGGAGGCCTACAGGGTGAACTACTACAGACAGTGGAGGGAAGGGGAGTGCAGAGAGAGGAAAGTTCTACAAATGGAAACAACCCATCTGAAGGTTCTGCATGGTACAAGATACTGTGTAGGGGAGTTAGGGATAAACGGGCTCTTTTAAACCTGTTAACGACCGGGATTCTTGCCTTCCCCAGTCAGTAGAAATTGACTAGAGGCCAGACAAGAAATTCAGGCAAGGCTTTACTGGGACCCCTTGTGCAGCAGGGAGGAGTGAGAGCAAACAACAGGTTCCCTTGATTGCTCACTCCCTGAGGAGGGGCAAGCTTGTTTTTTACATGGGGTGAGGGTAGGGGTGTGTCCAGGGGTCGGGCCAGGGGGTGGCTTAGGTGTTCTGCGACCCCTTAGGTGTGTTTTGTGCAGGGGACATGCACAGTACCCTGCTTTTGCTCCCGACACCCAGTTTTTGCTCCGGGCTCTTCAGAAGTGGCAGTAGCATTTTGTTTTTGTTTTTGTTTTTTTTTGGTCTCTTTGTATATTTTGTCCAGAATTTGCCCCAACTGCGCATGCAGTCAGTTACTTTTAGTCCCGTACAATTTCTTTGTATTTTGTTGCTCGCGGAGAAGGGTGTCCATGTGCAAGCACTGCAGCACTACAGCACTGCAGCAAAAGGTCCCAGATCCCAGCAAAGGGTCCCAGGTCCCAGCTTATCTCAAACTCATCTCAAGGGCACAGCTAGTGACAAGAGAGCAGGCCAGAGAAAGTGAGCATTTTAACATTTTATCCATCTCAGGGGTGTGGTCCCCCTTAGAATCTCAGGGTGTGATGCAGATCTCAAGATTGGATTCAGGGGCAGTAATTATATGAAGCTTATGTGCCGCCCCCCACCCCGCTATCTCAAGCTTCTCTTCCTACAGCTCCCATTCATATGGCTCATACAATACCATCCTTTTCTGCTGATGTATCATGTCTGCAGTGCTTAGAATATGGTTCTCTCGAAGATATAGAGCCAGCCGCTGGCAGCAGCAAACGGCCCCTCCCCAGGGTACTGTGAAATGTGGTTACATATTTGTTGAGACAATATATTACCCATTGTCCTTAACTGTACCCAGAGACATGCAAACCCGTCCCCAACAGGTTTATTTTTCTGTTAAACAAGACGGCAGTGAAACATGGTATAAAGCAGAAGAGGATCTCCCTTCTTTGTCTAAATGGCTCCAGAAAGCGATTGTTGGGGAGCTTTTCCTGAACCCCCAAGGAAGAGATGGACTTGACCTTCAGAGGCCTTAGCATGAAGATCCACGTTGACACCTTGGTCTCATACATAATTCAAATTAAAACACCACAGAACGATAAAAGCTGTGAGAGAAAGTCCCCCAAAATTCTGATTTTTCCTTTTATGATAATTCAAAATTCCTTTTTGGAAATATCCATATTCTTTAAAAAATTATTTTCTCCATTTTTTTTTACGTCTCTGCCTTGCCCATCTGCTTAGTAGACCTCGTGGGAAACCCAGTCCTGTGGGTGTGCTGACATAGTGCCTATAGCAGAGGGAGCGCTTAACTCTCCTCTCAGGAAGGACCCACCTCTGTGTCTGCTGGAGCAGACAGTGAACCCATCCACTTCCGGAACTGTGTTTCTTCAGAATGGGTGCTGGGGACAGGGCCTGGCTCATGAGGGGTTGGGGGAGACTTGCCTAGGCAAATGGATACCTCAGCCCCCAAGGCTAATGGAAAGGGAAGATGAGTTCGGATTCTGCAGGACTGGAGCCTGGGAGCATCGTCCGGGCTGTAAGCGGCCCTTGGAGAGAAATCAAGGTTTATTAGATAATGATTTGGGGTTGATTTTGACCTATCCCTGGCTGGCACGGCCATTTCTGTGTGTGTGTATGTGTGTGTGTGTGTGTGTGTGTGTGTGTGTGTGTGTGTGGTAGGGGTGCTCCGGTGGGTGGGGCGTAAGGACAGAAGGTGCTGTGTCATCATGGACATCTTGTTTCCGGGTGAATGGACCATTCAGAGCAGCACCCAGCAGCTGGAAGTTCTGAGGTCAGGGCTCAGCATCCTGGTCCCCACCCAGCCTAACAGTTATCAGCTGGGGACGCCAGGCAAGGGAATGGAGGTATCATTTGTGTTGGACTCAGAAATGAAGGTGAGGGTCAGGGAAAGACTCTGACCTGATGGATATAGGATGTCCAGGGCTCTCCTCAGGTGCTAAATCTTTGGCCACAAGAGTAAGGCTATGTCCTCCTCTCAGGTGGAGCTGCGGTTCCTGAACCTAACGTGCCCTGGCCTCTAGGGGAAGCTCAAGACTCCACATGAGTAGCCCCTGGAGAGTAAAACTGATGGGTCAAAGGCAAGGTCATGTGATTGGAGCATACTCTTAGGGGCAGAGCATTCACAGAGAAGATTTTTAAATTCTATTTCTTTTTAGATTGTTTCACTCTCATTTGCCAATGCCCAGTGTTCTTGATCTCTCATTTGCTATCAGAGACAAAAAGGGGGCAAATGTCATATCCCATGCCCTAGTAGAGATGTCTGCAATAGGAGGTCAGGGTCTCCAGCAGACCAGGGAAGACAGATGCTGATAAAAGCTACAACTCTGGTGACAGAGTCTTGCCCCGTGCAGAAAGTCTGAAGCCCAAGGAATTTTAAAGGCAGCTATTTTCAATGGTGTCCTGTAAATGCACATCTTAAATAGCAGATCTTGCGTATGACCCAACATTGAATCTATTAAAATGGCAACTGCAGGCTTATTGCTAAAACCTTTACTGATGCTGCTTTGGCTTTAAAAAAAAAAAAAGCCTTGTGTGGTAGCCACAGTGCAGAATTCCAGTCCCCTATCAGTAACATCTGCTGATTCTGTCTTCTGAGCAAAGTAATCCATGCCCCCCTCCCCTGGAGGCTACAGTGGAGAAAAGGAAGCATGCAGGTTGGGAGGCTATGTGACCTCAAATGCCATAGAATGCACTTCACCCCTGCTGGCAAGCATGGAGAAAGCCTCCAAGGGGACCCCTTGCTCTGCCATTTTGTAGCCTTACTGCACTGCTTCTAATGACTGAATTTCCCAGCGGGTCTGTATGAGTCATAGCTCCCGAGGTGAGGTGCCCACCAACGCTGACGACACTCCTGGCTGTGGGAACAGCTGTCAGAGACACTGTCCAGCCAGGTGTCTGGAAGACGATTTATAATATGTACTTGAGCAGCCTGGTGATATTTTATGAATCATAATGTCAGGTAATCTAACGGTAATGTATTTGCGATAGGGGTCACAATTTTCAATTTTTAAATAAACGTTTTAGGGGTTGACTTTGGATTCCTTTTTTTTTTTAAAAAAATAACATTATTCTCTAGGGAATTTCTTCTGTTTTATTTCTTTTTTAACCAAAATTGCAATTGTAATCTATGCACCTATAAGGAATTCCAAGCAGATCTCATTCCACAGAGACAGGGACTATTATTCTTGTTTTGGATCTGGGGGGGAAAAATGAGTATTTCAAATGGCATATCTGCAGGTAATCAATGAGTAAGATTTTTGATTGTTTTTCACATTTTTAAGATGCCTCCTGCATGCTTTGAATTGCAAAGTCTTTTCGCAAACGCTGTTGCCTTTAACTTCCTCGTCAAAACATTTCCGTGCAATAGATATTATCTTTATTTTATGGATGAGGAAATCAGCTAGGAAGTTTCAGAAAGAGGCAGCTTTCCTTTTTTCTCCTTCCCACCAGCATACTCTTTCATGTACTTCTTCATCCATTCCTTTGATCGGCCATCATCTCTGAGTGTCTGTCTTCTATGCTCCCAGCCTTGAGTTAAACGTAGGGAATGGAATCCAGAGGCAATAACATAGTGTTTGCCTTTGAGGACCTCCTCACCGGATGGAGAAGTCAGATGGCCAGTCAAGAATGTCAGTTTAATATGCTAAGATAATTGAGAATCATTTTTTAATTTAAAACTGTTATTCAGTACACATTCATTGAGCATTTATATAAGTGTATTTCCGTAAGAGACGCTAGAGAGATAAAGGTGAATAAGACACGGACCCCTCTGTTAAGTATCCCAGTCTAGACCAAGAGGGGCGTAGAGAGGCAATACATCTTCTACTGCAAACTCATGTGTGCAAGAAATATACCTCTGTGTCCATGAGTCAACTTAGTTCTGTTTTGGCTCATGTTGTGGGAGAGCCGAGGAAACTTAACCTCAGTCAAGGGTATTTAACAATGAGAGAGACTTCTAGATAGGCAAGGGGCAGAGGAATGGCCAAAAAGAAGGAAGTGTGGAAAGTCTCAGAAGAGTGGGAGCCACGGGTCCAGAGAATTGCAGATGTTTCTGCAGCAGTATGCAGAGGCAGAGCTGGAGTAGAGGTGGGAGCAGATGGGGAGGAAACAGCGGTCAGTGTCTGAAACACAGAGAATCCGAGAAGAGGGGGCCAGAAAATGTCCTCAGGTTTGTTAGTAACAGACCACTGGTGGCTTTAGGTCTATAACAATGTCTGCCCAGCAACCTTCATCACAGCTTCTCCACAGCCCCCATTATACCTGTGAAGGTACATCGAAAATAGAGATTCACTCCCCCTATGCCTAGGGCTGATAGACATACCTGTGTCTGAATCTGGGTGGAGCTCTACTAATCGCCGAGTCGGTGGAGCTGGGTCAAAGGACCCCCACCAGGATTCCCATGGAAGTCCTGGGCTATGCGGCATGATGCCAAGGCCACCTGAAGGCTCATGGAAAGATGGTACCCAGCTGCCTCCTGTATCTTTCTCTTGATCCAGTGACCAGGGATTGTGCCACCTAGAAAACTGCCCACGGCCCGCGTGATATATGAAGTGTTCCGGCTCTTGTTTCCTCATGGGCTGCCCGCTACTTCTGCTTTATTGACAGCAAACTCCCAGAAAAGAACCCTGTGGTAAGTAGGAAAGGAAGTGACACATCATATCCCAGGAAGTGCAATTCCTGAAAGAGTGGGAAACCTCTGAAAGCAGTCAGTGTATGCTAGGAACAGGAATTTCAAAGTTCCCCCAGTCCGCGATATTAGAGAAATGGCATCCAGGGTCGAAGTTTCACTAGAGTTCCAGTAGATAGACGTTGTCTGGAATCTGGGAACTACACTGGGATCTGCACATGTCCATTTATCTTCGACTGTAATCTAAGGAAGGCATTTGGCTATTTCAAAAGGAGACAGAAAGTCAGATCAAGGGCAGTCTTCCCACCTTGTTTGCTTACAACCATCTTCTTTGCTAACGATCATATCTTGCCTGTCCCACTCCTTCAACAAATGGGTACCTACTTCATCTCAGGGACGCTGTCTGTTCCTGGGATACAGAGATGAGCAGGTTACAGTTCTGCCCTAGAGGATCCCACGGCCTAGTGAGGGGGATGACAAGGGGAGAGATGAACGCACTAGGGCATGAGAGTGCCACATGGATGGAAATGGGTTCTACCAAAAAAAACCTTGCCAAATAAAGGATGGGGAACAGCATCTGAGAGACACAGAGGAAGACCCCTCTGACGATGATCTGCTATAAAATCCAGAAAAGAAATTGCACAAGAGTCTCTGGCAAATTCAACCCGAGGTAGAACTGCAGTATCATCAAGGCTTTAAGGCAAGAGCCCCATCTGAGGCCCTAGCAAATGCCAGGGGATTAGGGGAGGCTGAGCTGAACATTCTGGCTTCATGTTTCAGGCAGCACCCACTGCTCAGGCCCTCTCTTGACCCTGTTGAACTATTTGTAATTCCCTAGAAAGGCCTTGCTTTTGTCTCATCTCTAGGATTGTCAATATGTACCCTCCCCCTCCACCACCACCACTGACTCCTTCCTGGCCCATCTCTGAAATTACAGGTCAGACGTCACTAACTCTGGGTTACCACGGCTCCTGGGACTTCTTTCTATGTATTTCTAGTAGACCACACAGTTTACTGCACATTGATAGTTTTGTTTTTTTAATTTGTCTATCTTCCTTGTTAGACTTTGTTCTTCTTACTAGCGAAGGATGCCTTTTATATTTGTTACAGCCGTTCTCTGTGGTCATGCCAAACCCTTCACGTGCAGTAGCTCATGTATGGTCACATGGTCCTATGTCCACTCCTACCCTAGATTCAGAAGCTGAGACACAGAGAGAGCAAGCAGCTTTCCCTTTCACAGAGTTGCCAAGGGGTGGAGCCAGATTTTAAACCCGTGTTCTATGGACTGCAAAGCCTGTTTTCTTTGCCACGAAGCTTCCCCCTTTCAGGAGGGTCTCAGACGTTACAGAGGGGAAAGTTTTGGAGTCAGTGGGCACAGAGACCAGCCAGGCATGGAAACCTTGTGGGGCTGACGTGGGCGTGGGGGACAGCTGGGCTGGAGATAGAGGTCTGTGGAGCTTATTTCTGGAACAAGGGTTTCCCTCTCATTCCTCTGGGTCAGGCAAGGAGAGAAAAACCCCATCCTACTTCCTAAGCTCCAGGAGTTGTGAGGCCAGGAGATTCTTAGTTCAGGAAACACATCTGGATCTGAATGCTGATTCTGGGGCTCAGGGGTCCTGCTAAGGTTGATAACATGGTCCCTAATATTGTTGGGGTCCTCTGAAGGAGTTCAGGAGCTCCCAGTCCTGGACTTGAGTAGCACAAGAGTTCAAGGTCTCGGGAAGACTTTACATGCCTGTTATTGCCCTTAAAGACATCGTTTCTTAATTTCTCCACACGGAGTCTTTGCCTGTCCCACTCCTTCAACAAATGGGTACCTACTTCATCTCAGGGACTCTGTTCGTGGGATACAGAGATGAGCAGGATACAGTTCTGCCATGGAGGAGCCCACAGCCTAGTGAGGGGGATGACAAAGGAAGAGATGAACACACTAGGCCATGAAAATGCCACATGGGTGGAAGCCCTGGGCTCTGTGGAATCCCCGAGGAATCCCCACGCGTGTGGAATCATGCGTCCCAGCTTGGATGCAGGCAGGGATGTGATAGTAGGAGATCAAGGACAGCTTCCTAGGGTAGTGAGTAAACTGAATCTTGGAAAAATATGATTTGATCCAGAAAAGAAGTCAGAGAATCAGAGACATGGAAGTGAGAGGGAGCCAGTATCTCATCATAGCTGAAATTTGAGAAGTATTCTGGAGACTGGTTGGAAGTGAGGCTCTGCTTTGATTGAAGGGAATCTAGGATGCCTGGTTAAGATCCCAGAAGTTCCCTGAATGCAGTCAGATCCTTTTCTTTCCTCTGAGATCCTGCTGGACTTGAACCAGTGTCCACCCTCTAGCTTAGCCCAAATTCCCATCAATATAGCCCTGGCTCTAAGAAAACCTGTCTTACCTTGCACAGATTCTTAATTTTTTCTGCATTGTGGACTCCTACAGCAGTCTCATGAGGCTATGGACTTTTTTTTTTTTTTTTTGGAAATGTGAGAGTATTTTCTAAACTTTTTATTTTGAAATAATTTTAGATTTACAGAAGGGTTGCAAAGGTAGTAAAAGAATTCATGTATGCCCTTCCCAGATTCCCCTACTGTTAACATCTTACATAGCCATGGTATAGATAGCAAACTAAGAAATTAACAAGGCTACATTACTATGAACTAAACTCCAGATGTTACTCAGATTTCATCAGTTTTCCACTAATCGTTTTTCTGTTCCTGGATCCCATCCAGGATACCACATGGCATTTAGTGGAATCAAGTCTTTTGTTTTTTGTTTGTTTTTGTTTTCACTTTAGCTTTCCAGGGCATAGTAGCATGGTCGGGGTTTTTAAAATTTTTTTTATTTAAAAATTTTGTTTTTCTTGACGTATAGTTGATTTACAATGTTGCATTAGTTTCTGCTGTGCAGCAAAGTGATTCAGTTATGCATATGCATACATTCTTTTTTATATTATTTTCCAGTATGGTTTATCACAGGATATTGACTATAGTTCCCTGTGCTATACAGGAGGACCTTGTTGTTTATCCATCCTATATATAATAGTTTACATCTACTAATCCCAAACTCCCAATCCATCCCTCCCCAACTCCCCTTCCCTCTTGGCAACCGCCAGCCTGCTCTATGTCTGTGAGTCTGTTTCTGTTTCATAGATAAGCTCATTTGTGTCATATTTTAGATAGTGGAATCAAGTTTTTAAATGCATAAAATAAAATACAAAGGACTACAGAGTTAACCAAATGTATTAATATATAATTATAGAAATAATAATAATAATATTAATAACAATTAATAACATAATAATAATAATTATGATATGAAGAATATGAGATATAGTCATTTTGTACTTCTTTATTAACCCATTAAATAACGAGGAAATGTGTTTAAAATTCAGGAAAGTTAAAGTTAAGTTTTATTTTTTAAAGACATAATGAACTGGTTGTGGCCTAGCTTGAATTGAACGTTTTACCCTGGGATAATCTTTGACTCACATCTTTCTCATATTAATCAACCAGCAGTTGCAGATAGAGGGAATGATGGAAAGCCACATAGGTGACTAGGTCATCCCCTGGGAGTGACCAAATCGCACAACCTCATCAACTTCTACCAGGTGCAGGCGTGCTCAATCATTGGTCGGCTGTGGCCTTTGCAGGCAGGAAGATTGAGATCCAGGGGAGAGTTTAATATCCACCTTAATTTCAAAGTAGTGGGAGTGTGAACTATATTTCTAAATATCTATGACAACTGATTTGCCTTGTAAAAGTATCTGTGATTTCTACTGGGGACAAAAGTTACAGGTATTGATAATGAGACTTGTAACCTACATTTAAAATGGAATTAAATACTAAATTTAAGCTGGAGGTAAGTGAAAATAAAGATATCATTTTTTTTCCCAACCAAGTTCACAGATCCCTTGAATTCTTTCCACAGAGTTTCAGGCTATAGAAACTCCTGGAAGGTAAATTAGGTAGCCCCGAGGTTAGAGTGAACCCAAACTATGTTTTGTGAAGCTATAATAAAAAGTAATTTGAATCAACATTTTAAAACATGGAGAATTCATATAAATACCCAAATATGAGCTTCTGTTGAAAAATTAGAGCTCTTGCGTCACTGGGCTTGCCTCACAGCATGGCAGCAGCCAGCTGGGGCTGGTAGAGGCCAATTCTGGATTCGGTTAGGTTGTGGGAAGTCTAGTCTGCCTCAGTCCCACCACTGAGCCGAGGGTCACTTGTCCTTAACCATCTTTCTTTCACTGTGAAGGTTTTCTAACGCTTGCCGCATTTATTTACTTTACTCGTTTATTTATTGTTTGGTCCCTATGGGCTCTTATCTTAGAGTTTGGAAGATAAGAGGAATCTCCCAAGCCCTGAAACATCTTATACATCAGGTCCAGCACTGGGTGCTTTACTTAGGGTATCTCACTGAGTTAAGAAACCTGGGTCCCACCCTTGACTACATCACAAATTGTCCTTTCGACCATAGGCAAGTCATTTATCACTTCTGGGCCTCATTTTTTCCCATTTGAAAAAGAGAAATTCTGATTTGATGGTTTCGAAGGTCCTTTCCACCCCTCACATTCTTCCAATCCAAATTCTCTACTCCCAGGGGCCACGTCTCACTCCAGGACATAGCTGGTCATGGCACCAAACACAACACCTGAAACTCAGTTGTTCAATAACTAAGTGATAGGTAAATAATCACATTACATTAGAAAAGCTTAGAGGTGTTGCGAAGGTGTATTTTTATTAATTAATTAATTAATTTAATTATTTATTTTTTTGGCTGCATTGGGCCTTCGTTGCTGCGCGTGGGCTTTCTCTAGTTGCGGTGAGCTGGGGCTACTCTTCGTTGCGGTGCGGTGTGTGGGCTTC